CCCTAAATCCTACACCCTAAACCAGGTAGCGACAAGGAGGCTGGGCTCCCAAAGGCTTCCCAAGATGCCTCGCGCTGGCGCCTCCAGTGCCAGCTGTACTCGCAGCCAGCGCTTAGCAAAGAAGGGCTCAATCTTCTCGAAGATGCCATCCACCTTGTAGGGTTTTGTGTCTTAGGGCTTAGGGTGATCTTGGGAGAGCTACAGGGATCAAAACCTAGATTGAGGGGATTGCTGCGCGGAAAGGAAATGTCCAACTTCACTCTTCTTATCCTTGGGCTCTTACCGAGACTTGAAACAATGCGTCGTCACTGAAGGAGAAACATGAAAATTGCAACAAATAATGTAGCAGCTTACGATGATCATTCAAGAGCCTTCCTGGTTCATGTTGAGCTGCGATACCTCAGGAGCTCTGGGAAAGATCCAGATACTTCTCGTTGTTCATTAACGCTTGGTTGCTTGGTGTGCAGGAAATATCCAGTGGGCCCACTTTCAGCTTTCCAGCAGAATTGTGGGAACTAGAATGCAACTAGGAGATCGTAGCTGAGCGCAGGCCCCTCGTAGGATAACCTCTAAAACAACCGACCCCTACCTATCTCCATCCATCAGCCAGCTCTACAGTCCCGAAACTTCGATCTCCCTCTATTCCAGCATACACGCCCCACTACTCAGTAAAGAAAGCTAAAGGCCTCTACGACAAAAAGTCAAAGTACGTCCCCTTATTCACAGGTCCGCAAGAGCACACGCTGCGCAACCCCAACACAAGCCTTATTATAATCCCTATCCACCCTAACAGCTAAGCAGCTAAGAAGTCCCATCCCTGGGCTTCCAGAAAACTCGCCTCCTCAAGGGTGGGGGTCTCCGGATGAGGCATGGTGAAGAGACATCGGCCACGGGTCGCCTTCGTGTCTGGATCGTTCCAGAGAAGCAAGACCTTCACGCCGTTGCTTTTTTTCATTTCCAGAAATTGGTGTTTTTTGGGGGGGATCCACAAATTAAGGATGACATGATTTTAGGGTGTTCAAGGCATCCCCTACTTTCGGAAACCCATTGCATGGGGTTGTGGCTACTTGTCTGCTACCGAAAGAATGCTTCGCCCGAAAATGGTAGTTTCCCTAGACAAGGGGACCCCAATATAGACCCCAATATACTATGGTCCTTACTATAGGGACCTTCAAAACGGTACCCCTAATTTTGGGAACCCCCAAATCTGCAACAGAAAGCCCAGGGAATCCAGCTTTGTGCCTGGCTATGACCGAAGGATGTGCTGGCAAATCGAACCAAAAACATGAGTTGGAATCGACAGCATAACAGCTAAGCAAGGTCCCTATAAGCCCATTTCTGGGAGGAGGGTGGTTCTGAGGGCCACATCTCCATGCGCTGCTTGAAATTTGCCTCGATGGTGGGCAACCGGTCCCTCCGATAGGGATGTTGTCGGATGCCGTCCGGGATGTCCGTCACCTGGATGCACCAGAGTTCCCTCCACGGCTACGGATTACCTGGGGTTAATCAGGGATGGACCCTGGGGCTCTTACTAGAGTAGAGGACCAGCTTTCAGGTCTCTTGAAAGTAGAGGTGGATTCGGGAAGAATATGCCGTAGAACCGGCTTGATGAAGCGGAACAAAAGCGGTCACTCCTCTGTCAAAGCCACTGTCACTTGTGAGTGCCACAGCTAGCTTGGAGATTCTCAAAAATTAGGGGTCCCTTTTTAATGGGTAGCTTCAAAATTGCTGAGGGGGACATCTGCTCTTGGAAACACCCGTTCGCAGGCGCACACAGCACCAGCCCTCCAAACGCAGCATCGCCTAAGACATGATCCCCTATGCCACTTCACCTCATACCCTATCTCAGGCTCACACAGCCAAGGGCAACCCCTCAGGCCCTTGAGACACTTTCAGGTTCAGGGTTTAGGGATTAGGGCTTGGGGTTTACGGTTCAGGGTTTGGGAGTGACTTCGCAACCCAACAAAAAAGGCTCCCTGCCTGATACTCGGGTACCTGCCAGAATTGCGGTCATTTGGGTTTCGGTCCTTTGGGTTTTTGGGGAAATGCTTGGACCTTGAAGGGGTCATGGGCTAGGGACAAGATCTGTACCCACTTCGGATTAATTACCTATCAACCACCCATTGCTGCAACGTCGGGTGTTCAGGTCCCATGTGAAGGTCTTTAAGGGCTCGAGAAGTTGTAAGGTGGTGTAGCTTTGGACCTAAAACCCCTCGAAGGCCTTGGTAACGGAGTGCTGCGATGCAAGCTTGGGTTTGTTGAGAACGAAAGCTTACTTCGAGTTTCATGGGTTGTTGTAATTACGTGAGGCTATAAGCAGGCAGCTAGAGTTATCACCTGAACACGAAGGAGGTTGAAGTGGGGATCATGCGAGGATGGCAAACTAAGGATTTGTCCACAAGAACATCCTCTGCAACAAAAGTACCAATGCCGCACACCTGCCCTTCACCCAAACACTGTACCAAACATAAAACAAAACCATAAAACAGCTACATATCAACCAACAATAACAATACAATAGCCCAGCGCGAAACATGAGAGTACCATAGTGATGATAGTAACAGTAGCAACACAAACGCGCCTCCTGCCCCTTCTGCAGTTGGCAACTGGCACTTGTTTCGTGGAGCTTCAGCCAAAGCTCATGCTTTACCTTTGCGATGCAGTCTTTGGGATTGTCTAGGCCTATCTTCTAGGATTCTAGGAAACTTTTGGATGGGACGAGGATGTATGGGCCAGGAGCTATTGAAGGCTTTTCAGGCTTTCGCGTCCCAGTTCTGGAGTCCTCCATCCTGCTGTGAAACAAGTTGCAGTGGCCAACGGTCTGCTTCACTTGGAAGGTGCACCCTGTCAATACTTCGTGTGGCATACTGCTGGCCAGCCTCGAAACTTGACAGCGTGAGTCATCATGGGAGCCCTATCTAAACCCCGAAGTCCAGCACTCCAAGTTGTAGATGTTTTCTTTCAACTCAGACTCTGCTCAATGTTAAGCTGGGAACTGCCGCATGCCTTTGAAAAGCCATCTTGAAATCGTTTAATTCAGCCCTTTGATTGAAATTTCTTGTCGTTGAGATCTTTAGGCTCGGGATCACCAAAATATTATCGCGTGTATTGCATGTACTGCTGGCACCATCATTCCCACCGTCGTGAGTCCCTGGCATCAAAAACCAAATGCAATCGGAGAGGGTGAGCGCTGATCTTCATCGCACCACCCTAGAACTGCATCGATTGACCAAACTGGCACGCAGCCTACAGGCTATAGACTAAATGCTAACCTTTGGCAATTTGAAGGTCCCAGACTCATGGCCCAAAAGCTTCAATGAAGGCATGCTTGTCTTGGCTTCCCCTGCTTTCCATGGCAAGGGGCATGTTCCATGATGATCTCCACCATCGAGCCTGCTGGTTGCGTAACCTTCCTCTGCCTCCTACTGGGTTGCTATTAAGGAACTTAAATTCAGGTACCATAATGGGTACATATAGTAATTAATATGGTGTCCCCGGCATTGCGACTTTAACTACGTTCCTCAATAGCAACCCAGCCTATTGCCTGGCACTTTGCCCTGCTGCTTCACTCTACTACCCCGAGAAAACGCTGCTGCCCTGTAACACCATAATCTTCAGCTTACGGTCGCCCTTAAGTTCATAGAGTATGGGGTGGATTCGGGATCTTATTATGATATTGGGCACTTCCAAATTCTATCTATATACTTAAGGGGGGACAGTATAATGTACGTAAGGCCAGGGAGGAGGATTCACATCAACCATTTCACTCTTCGACAACAGCATAGGCAGGCCTAGCTTCTCGTGCGTCTTCTGCCTCAGTGGGGTGGAGCAGTGAGAAGGTTTTTGTATTTTCTTCATGCTCAGGGTTCGCAAGGTAAAGCTCACATTACTGTATTCCCCAAAACCCTCAGTGCTAACTCGGACTAAGGGTCGTCGTTGCCCTGGAGGTGCATGAGGCATGCAAACATCTGGCCCTTTTGGCTCCGAATTGAACCGCGACGTTGAGAGAGCATGCCCCGTTTCCATGATTGTTGAGGAGCGCTTGGTGCAAGATGGCATGGGTGAATTTGTCTGAGTGATCTGAGCATGCCGCAACCAGAAACAATGGACATTACAAGTGAGAAGGTCACGCTAAATACAGAGGGGAGTGCGCACCCGTGTGCGCACCCGAAGTGTGAACTTCAGAAACACAACTGGCAACAAGCTTAGTCGCGGGTATTTCTCTTGCCAGAGAGCCAGCCTGTGCTACATAATGTCAAATACTTTACATCGCAGTGCCTTGGGGTGAGGGTGGACCTATGTGGCACATACTACCTACGAGTCAAGCAAGCGGGACGCGCAGGATTCCGTTTTATTTTTCCAGTCTCCTTTCAACTTCATTTTGCATTGTGGGGGTAATATCCCGAAGGGCTGTATTACTGCATAACCCCTATGTAAACCTTGTGTAATCCAAAGAAACCCTACATTATCCCAACACCCGAAACTCGTCCAGTACTTGTAGCCAAGCCGCTGAAGCTTATGTGCAACTTTCATCATACCAGGCACATCGCGTGCCTAGGGACGTCTGAAATGTCAGCAGCCAGGGGTTATAGAGGGTTATATAACGGGTTTTTATGGGGTTATACAGGGATATGTAGGGTTTAGGGTTTAGTGCAATTAGAAGTGGGGCAAGTTCAAATTTACCAAAGGAGGCTTCTGCGCAAAATCCATGTTCATCTCGAAGGAATCATGCTTGCAATCTTCTGTAGATCAGGGCAGTGCGCGACCGGACACGCTCCAGACTCCATAGAGCTGGTCAGGAAGCGCAATCTCAAGCAGCTTCCTACGCATACAAACGGGTTAGCAAATCTTCAAACACACAATAGCCCTGGATAGTTTTCCAACATACTTACTGGTTCTTAGTAGGGAATATGGGATGATGATCACTATGTAATCCCATTATAATATGTTCCCTTATTCCCTACTAACCACCACTAAGCATAGAAATTCGTTGGGTGCTTAATGCTGCAAATCTGATCAGGCTTTTGGGAGCAACCACTGAGGTTGAGGGACCAGACATCCGCCATCTCCAGGGAATCCTGGCCCTTGAGATCAAGATCAATATGTTAGCAAAACTAGCGCCACTACCCTAAACCCTAAACTCAAAAGGAGGCACCACAAAGGAACGATAGGCTACAAGCTCGTAACAGATTTGAAGCCTCTAGGCTTCATTCTATAAACTTTCCTAAGCCCCAACATCTGAATTACAACGCCCTAAGCCCCACTAGCTAGGCATCCCATGAAACACCAGCCTTATGGGTAACAGAAATTGTAAGAACCTATAGGATTTTGCCTTGTTATAATACTTGAGCTCTTGCCACCCTAGAAGCCCCTTGCCGGGTTAAGTCCTAAACCCTGAATGCCCCAACCCCCTAAACCCTAAACCCCTAGACCCTAAACCCTTACACATCCTCAATCAAACACCCGAAGCCCCACGGAGGTAGGCATGCCCTGCCTAGCATTCCAAATCCCTAAACCCAAAAGCATAAACCCTAATCCTGGGTACTGCCCCCCCTCACTAACAGTTGGATAATAATTTTAATATGGCTATATATAGCCCTTAATAAGACCGCTAATATAGACTGTTACTGGGGGGGGCAGTACCCAACCTAATCCCCAAATCCAAAACCCTAAACTCCAAACCCAAATCCCCTAAACTTTAACCCAAATCCCCAAAACCCTAATCCCAACCCCTCAAAACCCAAAAACTTGGACCAAGGGTCGACGGTAAAAATAAGTCGGCCATGCTCGAAGTAGCCGGGGCCAAAGACCTGCGCACGCAGTCTCTCTGCTTTCCTAGAGTAAGGGTTTAGGGTTTAGGTTCAGGGTTTTAAGGGCTAATTAAGTAAAACAAAAGAGGAAGGTAAGTAGAAAAATGCGTCATGTCACAAATTAGAACCGCTGCTAGTATTACTCCCGAAAAAAGAGCATCCAAAGTCGGGTATAGGATTGAAGTAACAGAGCTTTCAAGACACGGTTCCTGACCCAATTGAATGAGAGGGGCTACGAAAGTGGTTTCTGCCTCTCTTTCTCTGTGTTGTTGCCCGCGGCTAATGGCATGCACAAGGTCATGAAGCTGAGGATTAGGGTCTACAATGCATTCTCCCAAGTCTGGCTCTGGTCCACACGATGGTCATAAGCTTGCGTACTCACAAGCCTTGAACATGAAAGCCCCATATCTAGTACATGAGGCTTCCCAAAATTAGGGGTCCGCAATTGGAAGCCCCCCCATATGAGCGATTGTCTAAACTCCTAGCATCCCCCTTAAGAATAGTAGTGCCCTATATAATCCCATATATAACCCCTTCAAGGAGGTTAGACTACAGCTCATATATACTAAGAGATTATACTATTGGGGGGCTCCATTGTTGGAAGTTAGAACATCAAAAAGCAGAAGCCTCAAGTTCCCCCAGCGTGGTCACCACGAGTATGAGAAGACGCTGTAAGCCGATCCCATTGCGCATTTGGGAGCTTAGCCTGCAAACCCAAACTGAACCGTGTACTTCCATTTGTGACTATCCCCAACAAGGTCCATGTTTTAGATTCCCCTGCTTGGGAGTCCATAACCAACATACTAGTCTTTGGTATAAGGATCCTTGAAAAGTGGGCCTGAATTCTGGGCAGATCCCATATCGCACCCACGCCAGGCCTCATCAAGTTCTTCCAGCTGGACTTGGGCCGGAGCTTTCTGTGAAGCCATAGCTTTGTGTGGCTGCACGTGGTGTTAGATCCCCTTTCCTTGATCTCGGGACAGTAAAGGCCTTAGAATCCTTAGAAATACATACTGCGCCCTGGAAGAAGCCGATCATTGGCAAGCAGTCTCCGAATCCAATAGCCCATTACAACTTTAAACTTTCAGCTGCCTGCCATATTTTGAGAATCTAAAGACCTAAGTCTATTACCAGTACTAGCTTCAGTCCCCTTTGACCACTAAGACTCCCTCCTGCAGTGGCATTGGTTGTCAGCAGGTGTAGAAAGCCAGATGAGTTCAGCTGTAAGGTTGAGTTCAATGGACGATGACGTGGGATGAATATCTTGGATGCTGCAGGTCATCAGAACCATGTGGTACATCCCATACGGTCCTTGAGCCATGTCAGGTGCCCGGAGCCAGGAAAACTGACCGTCTTCTGTGCATAAGCCGCCTGACAAGATTATAAACCTCAGAACTACTGCGCTGTCTGAGGTGTCACTATCTTTGACAGAGGTCTGAGCACATGTGCGGAATGGAGCCGGTGCAGGATGAACGCCCAGTGCTGGCCTACATGATATGTATGTGGTCTCCTTCCCCATTTCTAAGGCCTATACAACTGTGCTGTAGGAGTTGCCATCTAATTATTGGGCGGCTCCCAGCCAGACTGCATCTATTGCAGCTGCTGCCCGCGACGAATGTCTACCCCCTGCTGGCTAGCAAGCAATGAAGGAAGGGAAGCATCATGGTAGCTACGTTGTACATGCATAGCGTGTGGGTTAACTATAATTTGCTTTAACTATTGACTGGTTGGTCCCTGAAATACCCCAGCCCCACCATCCCTCTACGAAGACCAAGTGTAGGGCCATGCTTGGCAAGACGCCATTCGACATGTCCTTAGCTCCAGCTTCAGAACAAGGATATATGAGCCATTGTCTAAACTCCTAGTATCCTCCTTGATAACCCCTATAGTCGTCCCATATAATATCCCCTATAACCCCCCCTTTAAGGAGTTTAGACTATAGGTCATATCTGCAACCCATGGGCCTAGAACTCCCACT